CTCTGCACTCAGCTTGAAGGGAATGTTCCACATTTGAAAATACTGAAGCGAGCATCAGGTATGATGAGATAAGCTCACTTATAATTGTTGGTTTACTTTTAAATGGAAAAGACTGCTCTAGAATAGCTTTTTAAGTGGAAAAGACTGCTCTAGACTGACAAATAAACAGATGAACAGAATTTCTCCGTTTAGTAAATATGCCACTCAATGCACCGTTGTTTGATTACCTCATCATACCTTGCACAACGTTGATTGAAAGCCAATTGACAACCGTTGTATCTGGAAATCGTGCTCACAAACGCCAGATATGAACGACTCAGCAATTAAAGTTTTCTTGGCCTTGATTGCCGCATGGCTAATAAAATGGCAGGACTGGTACGACATGATTATGCATCAGGGATGCCTGGATAACATTGAAATATTCTCCTCGCAATAATCTGCCCATCTTCGCGGGCGTGTAGCTCACAACTAGCGGGCTTTGGGGAAAAGGGCAGGGCTATGAACGGCACCGAATGATATTCAAGAGGGCTTTTCAGCTCCAAACCCCATACCAATGTAGAACACTTCATTTAGTACGAAATGTGCATTTTCTCTTGGCAGACAATATTTTATCACCATTTCTTTAGAACAGTATCCCGACGAGGAGACCATTCTGGATGTATGTTTTGACATGATCATAGGTGTTCAAATTGCGTGATGCAGGCCCTTCTCCCCTCCCCCTAAAAAATGAGAACTTCCCGTGTGTCAGTGTGTGTGTCATTGGGGCTTTACGACACACTCAGCTGCTGAGGCTATATGGCGTCGCCTGCCTCTCACACTGGCAGGAAGGGCAGGCACCGCGGGGAATCAAACCCAGCACCTCTGGTTTCCCGGACGCGTAGTGGTTAACGCAGACACGTCAACCAGTACGCGTTAACGCAGACGCGTTAACCACTACACTACCGGCACCCCAACCAGAACTTCCCCGATAATTTACCGATCGGAAACAACTCCGCAATTCTTTCGGGAAAAGGTGCTCGAATGCCAAGCAAAAATTAATGCTCGTATGACACAGCTTCGTTGACAAATCGACAGATGTAACCATTTTGCCTTGCTGTCAGTTCCCATTAAGTCCCTCGTTTGTCTTTTCCTACCGAGCCAGTTACTCCTGATCGTTTTGCTGACCGTTTCCGAAGATGCCTAACTGCCAGAGGTCAGTCTGAAGGCCGACTAGACGTCCCAGTGTTCTCTTCATGTTTGGAGACACCCGTGGCTTTCTCCGCACCATCTTAAGACGAAACTTCCCAGCAGCATGCAAAGCTTTTTACGGTGTATTTCGGGCTTGTAGACCCAAACTTGCGCCATTTCCGTAAGTTATCACAGCACGTGCGAGCCATTTCGAGCGAGGCAGACGTACAGAATCAGTCGTGCGCTGAAGCGAAGGGTCCCCACATTGCGATCAAGACAGTGCACGTGTGCAGCAGACCATGTCTCGCTTGGAATGCCCCCCCCCCCCCCCGTCCCAACGTGGCCACAGTCTCGGCCCAGAGTGGGGCGGCCGGCAACAACAGCGGAAT